ACAGTTTGAAAACAAAACCAAAAAAAAAAACAAGGGCGCTAGTGAAGTGACCATAGATGCTGAAATAGCATTAATTCAGATGCTAGTCTAGAAACACACCGCGTTCCAAATTATTGTGAAAATTGTGTTTAAGTGTCATAAAGATTAAATAAGTTGTTTTTCAATTAAACCCATGGATGCAATTGTGTCTCAGGACTCTCTGGATGACTGAAATCAATCTCGGACACCTGTGATCATTAGTTTGCCAGGTGAGCCCAATTAAAGGAAAAACTACTAAAGAAGGATGTTCCACATTATTAAGCAGACCACCATTTTTAAGCAATATAGGAAGGAAAACGGAGCTCTCTGCCGCTGAAAAGCGTGAAATAGTTGAATGCCTTGGACACGTAATGAAAATCTTAGATATTTCACAAAAATTTAAGCGTGATCACCATAATGTTAAGAGATTTGTGGCTGAGTCAGAGCACACATGGGTTCGTGCAGATAAAGGCACAATGATGAAGGTTGCTGTCAGACAAATACATCAGATTAAGAGAACAGCTGCTAAAAGGCCATTACAAAGCAGCAAACACATATTTCAAGCTGCTGGTGCCTCTGGAGCCCTGCGAACATCAAGGTGTAGGATCCTCCAGAGACTTGCAGTTGTGCATAAACCTTCTATTCGGCCACCCCTAACCAATGCTCACAAGCAGAAATGGCTGCAGTGGGCCCAGAACTACATGAAGGCTAATTTTCAAACAGTCTTCTTCACTGATGAGTGCAGTGCAACCCTGGATGGTACAGATGGATGCAGTGGTGGACGGCCACCATGTCCCAACAAAGCTGCGTCGGCCCCTTTAGGGTCCCTGAAGGTGTGAAAATGACCCCTGCAAAGTATGTGGAGTTTCTGACTGTCCACTTTCTTCCATGGTAGAAAGAGAAGAACTGTGCCTTCTGCAACAAAACCATCTTCATGCAAGACAATGCACCATCTCATGCTACAAAGAACACCTCTGCATCCTTGGCTGCTATCGGCATAAAAGCAGAGGAACTCATGGTCTGGTCCCCATTCTTCCCTGACCTCAATCCTACTGAGAACCTTTGGAGCATCCTCAAGCAAAAAACTATGAGGGTGGGAGGCAGTTCACATCCAAACAGCAGCTCTGGGAGGCTATTCTGACATCCTGCAAAGACATTCAAGTAGAAACTTTCCACTTGTATTTTTATTTTTTATTTTTTATTCCTATTTATTCTATTTATCCCCTTTGTATATTTTATTTACATTTGTCTCTGTATTTATGTGTGTGTGTGTGTGTGTGTGTATGTGTATATATATATATATATATATATATAACAATTCTGTAACTGTAACTTCGGTCGTTGCTGTGCTTTTTGGAAGTCGAATTTCCCAGAGGAACCCACCCGAGGGATTAATAAAGTTCTATCTTATCTTATCTAAAAATTTACAAGTTCCATGTATGCAAGAATTGTAAAACTGCTTTTAAATAAGGGGTCCTATGTTCATTTGTAACTTGACCCGTTAAGATGTTTTTGATTGAAATAGCTTTTGATTTCAGTGAAATTGATCTACTAATGCTGCAAATTCAACAAATGGCCATTTTCAATTCTCTACAACCTATAAAATCTTTTGAAACTATGTGTGCGTAATAATTTGGAAAAGTGCATTTTAAGTTTTTTATTTCTGAAAAAAATTATCAGTGTGAGTACAGGTGAAAGTATGGCCATACAAGCACTGCCTGTAATTACAGTGCTACTCCAACAGTAGTCACTGCAGTTGGTAAAACTGTGTAGCGTTATAGTGATCATCAGTGACAACATTATTAATTAACAGACCTGATAATAAGTATCCATAGTAGAAAAATTTTATTAGCATTATTGGTAGAAGTGGTAACAAAGTTTTGTAATTCGTAGCAGTTTTTATAATTACTGCCTGGTACTATGAAAAAAGTGAGTTACAGTAGTAGTAGTGGCTTGTTTAAAAGCTTTTTGTACCTTAACAGTAGAAGGCTGAGGCACGGAAACTCCCAGCAGCACCTGGGCCATCTTGTTGATGACCAGCTCTGTGATCAGCTGTTTATCCTCCTCCACATGCTCGCCAATCAGAGGCATTGAACTGTCCATCACCTGCAGAGACAGAAAACAAACAGACCTCAGCTGAAGTGTTAAAATTCCCCCACTAGATGGCAGGATGTTACCTCTTATTCAGAATTCCTCTACTCTGACCCTCAAGTGATATTAGTGATAAGACTGTGTGTGGACACACGTGATGAGTCATTTAGTGTAGATCACATGTTTGTTGGGGTCAGAAACAAGCTTTACAGCCCTGTGGCAACCACAGTTTGGAGGATACAAAGAAGTGTGTGACGAAAACTGCGAGTTTCTGTCTTCTCAGGAGGTCTTCGGTGCTCTGGCAATCAATCACATAAACAGAAGCGAAAAAAGATGCTTTCGTTTATTTCTCTATATGTGTGTTCATATAAGCTTTACAACAGTTTAATTTTGACTGATCACAGACTTCTCTAGTTAAGCTCTGTATAAACTAAATAGGTTTATCTGAACACACACAAGAAGCCAAAGTTAGAATTTCCAGTGATCTGCAAAAAAAAGTGGCTCCATCTGTAAATATTATGTTGCTGGGGCATGACTTTGAAGGGCATAGACCAAACCCATTGCCACACAAATAATTAAAATAATCAAAAAAGAAAAAAAACAAAACAAGGAAACATGTTTTTTCCCAGCACTTGAGCTCACATGCAGGTCCATGTGTGCTGCAGAACCACAGGCCTCATGAGGCTCAGAGACCTGCTGTCCTCCTCCCTAAAAACCAAAACAAACAGGAGCAAAGGAGTGTTGCTGCTGCTGGCTAGGATGTAGATGCCCATCATGGTGGAAGAAGCTGCTGCACCGCACCCCAGCTGCAGGCTGTAAACACATCAGCAGGCATGCATGCATGTGTGTGTGTGTGTGTGTGTGTGTGTGTGTGCTTATCCTCTGGTACACAGCATATGCCAGGCAGAGATTAGACTGTACTGGAGCTCTCTGTGGCTGAAGTTGTTTTTATTAGTGGTATCAGTTAAATCCCAAAAATGTTCTTTAGTCCAATTTCAGACAAACTGGCCTCTTAGCACACACTTGGTGTTTGCTTAGATTCAAATGAATGCGACTTATTATGGCACAAGATACTGATGCAGGCAAAGACTTAACTCACTTCAATTCACAACAGTCGCCTTAAGGTGCTTTATATTGCAAGGTAAAGAGCCTAAAACAATGTAGAGAAAAAAACAAAAATCAAACGACCTCTTTTAAGCAAGCACTCATGACAGTGGGCGGGAAAAATTTACACTTAACAGGAGGAAACCTGCAGATCCAGCCTCATGGAGGCGCAACCAGCTGCTCCGACCGGTTCGGGGTGATTGGGGTAGGATGCAGAGCAGCCACTTGTTGTTTTCACACAGGCTAGAGTTGTTCTTTAGGCTCTTTTTAAACAGCTGTCCATACCATAACACTGCCTCCACCATGTTTGACTGACGATGTGGTCGCTTTTTCTCCCATCATTCTTTTACAAGTTAATCTTTTCAGAACAGTACAAGTTTTTTAATCTGGCCTTCTTGATCTATAGAACGTGGAGGTAGCTTCCAGAGCAACAAAACTTGGCATCTAAGACCTGCAATCTGTTTAAGGTTATCATAAGGTGATCGCTATGGCTGCAAAAAGAAGTAATGGCTTTCTGTCCGTAAACACTTTCCTGCTGGCTCGTTCACTTGTTTTGGGCCATACTGAAGTCTTTTTTTGTAAATTTTGGTTCCAAAAACTGAGGATTAGTTATGGTACGGAATCGACACATCGCCAGCTAATGAGTTTTCAATAATAAGCCGTTCGCCAGTTTCACCGTCTGATCCACAGTGTTTTCTATGTTGCAAAGATGGCAACGGGGAAATGTTCAACTTGATGCTCCAAAACAGGACCAGAAACTATGGCTAAGTTCATGTTTTATACTGTCTATGAGTGTAACCAGTGGTTTGCACATCATCACTTGCTACCTCCTTGCGTGTGTTCTTGGCTTGAGAGCTATGGTGAAGCTGCTTCTCCCAATGTAAATAATTTAGAAGGGTAGATTTTTGATTTGGTTCCTCCAAAACAAGGGAACAGACCTGACCTCGCCCTGAAACAGCTTTTCAGTCAATTGTCCAATTATTTGTTAAGATTCTGAAAATGGGGGATTTGCATAAAAATATAAATCCTGAAAACTTCATCTAATAATTTTGTAAAACCTCTTGAAATACAGCATTTCAATTCCATATTAACTATCTGATTTAAGATCCACTGTAGTGGTATACAGAGGCAAAGCTACAAAAGCCTTAGTACAGCAAACTACGGACCAAAGTGTAAGATTTATTTAATGATTTCTTTGCGTAATACAAGAAACAGAAACTTGGAGTGAAACAACACCCAGCAAGGAAGAGAGCACCCAAAGGCAGTTGTAGGTTTAAATTCATCTATTTTATTTCTTATTAATTTAAAGCTTTTTTTTGCATATCATTATAGGGCTGTTTCTTTTGTGGGCTTGCCACACATTGCAACAACTTTCTCAAAAAAGCCTCATCAATCATTGAAAAGTCGTGGAACAATCTGTCAGTGATAATGACTAAAACAAGAGAGGTTTTTATGTCGTCCTTTGTAAGCACAATCTAAACTGATTAAAAAAAATCCACATTTGATGACAAAAAATTGAAAGCAAATCAAAAGCTTTATTTAAAAGAGCCTCTAAGAACGCCTATAACAAACTGAGGACACCCAAACTAGTCGTCTTTTCCACTCATTTTCTTTGTTTTTCACAGCTGTTTGGGATCTCTCTGTTCTGCACAGAACCACTTCCCAAGCTAAAGAACCCTTTAAAGCTCCCCCTTTTTTGTGTGTACCCAGCTTCTTGGCTAGGATTTGGCAGCGAGGTCGGGTGTGGCACGGTGTTTTGGCCAGTTGAGTCATTACCACAGGGGACTGAATGCAGGCCTGGTAAAAGACCGCCAGGCCCCACTTCAAACGGCGTGCGGTGGCAAGCTAAAGCGGGATCCACCCTGCTGATTTATTAGGATACAGAGTCATCTAACAGAAGACTGGATCTGCTGTAGTTCTTTCACCACTGGAACACAGAGGTGTTGTCCTGTACTTTTACTAAGCAGCAAAGGTTTGTGTTTTCTGGACAATATCGGGCTGCATGGCAAATGTTTACAGAGAAAAAGTGAAATGTGCTCGTTGAAAATGATGGTGCAATTGAAGTTCAGGGCTGGCCAGAGGGTCATCCATTTCTGGGAAAACAACTTTAGCTTCAAGATCGCAACATGTGTGCTGTTCTCTTTTGCTAGCTTGAAGGCACAATATCTGAAATATCTCTGTCAACAGATCAAGTCACTCCCGATGGCTGAATCTGTAATATAATGATATTTTCTTACAATTAGGCCAACAATGTTCTAATCATTATTAGGCATAACATTAGCCCTTTAAGTTTTGTGTTGTTTCTGTGGACCAGTAGAAAAATATTACATTTGACATTGTAATTTAAAAAACTTTTTTTGTACTGATAATCTCAAAGACTTAGAAAGTTTTGTTGTTTTTCTTGCCTTAAGGCATCGTAGACCTACCTTTTATGTAAAGTCTGTTGAATTTACACGTGCTAAATTAAATAAAGTTTCTTTATAGTATTATGTGCCTGCTATTGTGTAGGCTCCCCATGTGCTGGGACTTCAGCAAGTGTCCTTTGGGGACGCGCAACCAAAATCTGACGGCGGGTCTTCTGGGCCCTGTGGGTTGTGGGATGGGAAGCCTCATGGATGCGCAGCTGCGCTGGGATCTGGCATTCATTGAGTGTTTGGTCGTTGTTGTGTTACTCAAGCCACACTTTTGTGGTGTGGTGAGGCTCCTGCCACTAGGGAGTGCCGTTGCTATGGGACGTGTTTTGATTGGTCTGCAACAATCTTCACAGTCTTGCACAAAGAGATGGACTAACTGACACTGACTACACCAGCACAGCCATTCTACTTCATGTCATGTGGCTGACACATCCTGTCAGATCAGCTGTGTATATAAAATACTTTCTGTCATGTCATTTTGTCAAACGCTGTGGTGCACTGTGTCATGTTACATAACAATACTGCACCCCTATTATCTATACATTTCCCAGTGAAGTGACACAAGCTGGAGTTTGCCTCATGTTGATACCAGCTGCAGTAATGTCTTAATGAAGTGCTTCTGAGTAGCTCATTACTGTGCATTAGGGTGAGGTGTTACGGCTGCTGTCTTTGTTCTGACACCAAAAAACAGAAAGAAAGAAAACAGTTTCTGACTGTGACGGCCGACAGCTCTTCAACGTCGCACTTAATTAAATTCCATCTAGGGTTGGAGTAAAGGAGGAGGAAGTAATGCTTGTCAGGAAACATTGCTACTTGACTGTGTCGTGGGTTTCTCTGTCGTAGCAGCCTAGTACTGAGACTACACGCCCCTGGGGAGCTGATAGATACTTCCTGGGATAGTTTGAGGTCTTTTTTGCTTTCTCACAACCGCTCTCTCCCAGCACACAGATAGTCACCAGAGTGATGTCATGTTCTGATCCTAAGTTTGGGCATTTCAGATGTCCAGACTGGCTCATTTCCTCAGACTTGAAGGCATAGGAAGCTGCTCTAAAAACAAAACTGATTGCACACAACTATTTGTCTCTTGCTTCGCCCCTGGGAATAATTGTTAAAGGAAAATGTGCATTTCTGGGTAAGGTATTTACAATTTTAGATAAACAGATATTTTTTAAAAAGGACAGAAATCAAATTAAAAAAGAGAAATAAATAAACTGACAACCTTGATTAGAATCAATAAGCATTACAACAAATTATTGGAGTGGAACAAAAGTAAGACATACAGAAAGTGTGAGTTCCAGGGAAGCTCATCATAGTAACATATATGTGCAAGTTATTCCTTCTGTTGGGGCTGTGAGACCTGTGAGGCTGCTGGAGATGGCGTGTGTGCGTAACTATTAAATGATTTTCTTTATTTAATAGCGATAAATAAAGTGAGTTGACCCATAAAGCCCCATAACACATATTCCAAATAAATGAATTATATTTCTCATGTCATTATTGGGAAAAAAAAGTACGTAAGAATGTTATGTGAATGACCAACAATAATTTATCCAACTAATCTAACAGACAATGATAGCAACATAGATGTGTTGCTATGCTAACCTTTGCCATGTCAGATTGTATTTTCCATCCCTGGCTGTTCCAGTCTGCATGCATGATACTGTCTGCAGGGTGCAGGCATGATACGACCCCCAGGTTGCTCTCTGATGCATCTATTGGCATGTGAATGTTAAATAGTATAAATCTTAAATAGGATAAAGTGCTTGAGTGCACTTCAAAAACCCAGATGATCAAGGTGAGTCTCATGAATCTGAACAAGTAAAGATATGTTCTGAAATTTTCAGACAGGACCTGAACACATGAGGCACCTGCATTCAGACAATTACACACTAAGCGATGTATATTTATGAGTTCCACCTTCTTTTTTTGGCCCCTCTTAAATGACCTAAAAGCCCCACAGACTGCACCTTTAAACCATGCTTATGTGTAACATATGTTAAATGCTGTATATAGAGATACTGAACAGTGAACCTCTAGTGGCCCCAGTGGAAACCCCGTCCCAGGCACTGTTACTGCCACGCTCATCACATTGAAAGCCCAAACCTCCAACCAAACTGGTTGCGTCAAGTCACGCCATGACAGTTTTATTTGTCTACAAACTGCAAGCTACACTTCCACTGCCAAACTTTACCAGCAGACTCAAACAAACAGACTGGATTAGAAGATGAAGTGAGTCAACCGCTGACTCCTGATGTTGTTTTCATTCAGCTGCCCATGTTTGGTCTGCAGACTAATCGTTCTTTCAAGGCTGTGAAGATCATGTGCCAGCAAGTGTGGTTACACCCTTCCCGATTGACTTTCACCCATGATATGAAAAGTATTATCAGCAGGGAAAGAGAATGAATCCAAGGTAACGCTTACACAAACTGCTTTAGCCCTGTGATGCTGCTGAGAAGCGATCTAACTGCTGGTTAACCGTTATGTTTGCAAATGTCCTGAAACATGATGACAGATCTTATTTATCTAAAATACACTATAATGCAATGAAAGAGCAAGTTTCAGCCCCAGTTTCCTGAAACTCTCCTTGGAGCTGTAGATGAAAACACACTGACCTCGATAATGTAGTCGTTCCCGTCTTTTCCATGCACGGCCTTCACAGCGCAGATGTCTAGGCCCCCAAACATCTCAGCGCAGGAGTCTATCCACATACGATATCTGAAGCACAGGGACGCAAACAGCTGACTGTTTAAAACCCAATAATCACTACAGATATCATTAAAGGAAGAATGGACTTAACAGCTATAAATGTCAGTAAAGGCTTCCAAGACTTTTGGACAATGAGATAATCAGATTCATGCTTAAAAGTAGTGCCAGTGTATTCAATTGAACACAGATGTCTGAATGATTCAGTGTACTTAACAGATCTGCATTTTTCCAAGAGAATCTCTGAACCAGCTCACCTGTCAGTCATTGCGATCTGTTCCAACATGGCAGAACCTGTGTTGGCCTTCCAGTTACCAGAAATGGATGTTCTCCTGAAGGGGGGGCACCAGGAAATGAATTCATATTTCTGCAAAAAACAAGCTAAAATGCTCCAGCAACAGTTAATCGCTCCCAACTTTTGCTTTTCCCTCTGAAGGGGGAAGCTATCATCAGTTCATCAAGGATGGCCATTTTAATCCACACCTAGATAATGTTTGTGTGAAAGCCAATCCAAGACACGGTTTAATGGTGAGGGCAGGGAAAAAAATACGATGAGATAAGCCTTGGCTACTTTGCCCCCCCTCTCCGATTTCGGTTGAGCAATTGTTCAGATACAGTCTTGAAAGCTAAAAGGTTGAGCACAAATTCTTTGTTGTAATATGCTTGGCTGACAGGAATGTCTATGGCTTCCAGATGGGTGGAGCTGGGGCACGAGGCCATGAAAATCAAGGCATTAATGCTGAAAACTGCCTGGAATCCAAGAAAAGTACTACTTTAACATATAATTTGCCATTATTGGTGAAACTGTTTATTTTCCAGATGATGCTTTATAAGAGTTCATTTCCCACTGGCTCCACATGCCTTGCTACCATTAACCTACTAAAACGCTTAAAATGTTTGCTTTCAAATTCACCTGCAATGCCACCAACAGCCACCAGAAGTTGGTTGCAGCAAGCCAATAAAAAACACCTTACATGTAAGCTTTGTAGTTGCTGCCGATCTTCTGGATCCTGATATCGTACTTGGACTGGATGTACGGCTCGGTGGTGGCGTACGTCCCTGCCAGAGCCACCACGCTGGTGATGTCCTGGAAGTCCTGTTGGTTTTCGACTTTAATCTGCAGGAGAGACGCCACTTGTTAGCGGGCAGCTAATTACAAAGGACGCTGCTGAAACTGGCAGCGGCTGCTTTAAAATCCCACAGGAATTTCACACTTGTACACAAGCTGGATAATGAGGGGTCCACGTATGGAAACATTGCCGGGGGCGGCTTTGAAACTACATCACCTCTTTCCCAGTTATTAAACAGTAGACTGCAGACGCAGACTAAGAGGGAAATGATGCAATGGGAGCCTATCGACACACAACATGTTTATATCATATAATTCAAAGCAATTTTTCAATTTCACCGTGAGATTATTAGGTAACAATGAGGTGTGACAGCGTAAAATACGGAGGAAACAAATATTTTCCTCCAGTGACAATTACCACTGAGGGCCATTTGTAGGAAACTAAGGCTCTCATATATTTTTAGAAGACTTACTCTGATGTTTCTTGTTGAGTGGTATTATTATTGTAATTTATGTTGATACAAAGATTAATGAGGTGTGCTTCCAATGGGAAACTGGGCATCCTAAGAGACAGTCACATCAATCGCCAACGTTATTGTGCGGCTACGAGTTTTCTTGTCTCAGGCACCAAACGAGTCAGTGCAGAGCATCCACTCACTCATCACCATCCCTCTCACTAGCACCATCACGGAGGAAGCAATGGGAACATTGCGCTTCCGTCATGATAAAACACAAACCAGATAAAGAAAACAGGAGGTTGATGTTTCCTCGGGGGTTTCGTCTTCT